ACATGAGATCGTATTATACATGAGATCGTATTATACACGAATAAATATGGTAATTAAAAAAGTGTTTGAAAACATGAACCAACTACAAAACATGAATCCTTATCTTTCAGCTGTGATGAAACTTTGTTCCTCCTTGGATTAATTATTAGTTTGGTTTGACAGTAAACAGGAGACACACTGCCCCCAACACTCCATGTTTATTTTTGCAGCCATGAGAATCTGCTCAGAAATGAACAGATGTAGACACCTGCGTTGTGGGCCCACATATGCACACAAACACACATCCTCCCCCTCCCTATTTCCCCCTTTTCAATGCTCTATGGGACCCAGAGCAGATCACAATAGGGAGTGATCATGGATGCAGTAACCAAATAGTGCCTATCCCCCCAGGACACCCGCTCTGTTAGAGGCATTGTCACCAGTTAGATCAAGTGGCTGCACCTAACAGTCTGCTGCATGACTGCTCATTTCAGACATAACATAATTCAGGGGGACAGAGGACATAAGGTAGGTGGGGGGCTGCGTGTGCAGAGGTTGTTGCCTGGATCAATTCTGGGGCTCTGGTTTGAAGTGGTGTCTTTTCTTCAGATTTGTTAGTTCAAGTTTTACTGCAGTTGGGGTCTGATTGAACTGGGTCTAGTCTTAGGATAAGTGGCTCTTCTTTTTTTAAAGGGTGTTGGGGCAGCAGGTGTTCGCTGGGCTAACAGCATGAAAGGGATGCTTGTTGAGGCAGGGTAGCGACAGGACCAGGTTACACATAAAAAGCCTGGTTTTGTTTGAGAAAAGAGGTCCAGCAGCCCACCGGTGCAGCAGCGGTGCCTAATGGTGCCATTATAGCCTGGTGTTCCCATCTCTCAGCTGCCGCTGGACGACAGAGGATCCACATGCACCTGTTGTCTTCCCCCCATTGTGTCCAACGTGTGTTGGTGTGCTACACCTCAGGAATGCTCTCATCCAGACGCCTCCCTTCTCATCCCAGGAGACAGCTTTTGCACAGTTCAATGAGGGTAGGGTGTCAAGAGTGTGTGTGTGTAAGAGCCAGTGCGTGTGTGTGGGGTGGTGGGGGCTTTAAGAGACAATGTATAAAAAAAGATGGGAGACGGAGGTGGGAGGAAAGCGAGGGAGGGTGTGTAAGTTCTCCCAAAGCCAGTGTCCTCTCTCCTCTTCAGGGGCCTGTCCAGAGAGCCCTGTCCTAAATCACTGGCCCCAGGGGATGGTTTCCCATTGTCAAGAGTTGGCCCCTGCAAGCTGAGCTGCCAGCTGCCTCTGCATCAGCGTCACCCCCCTCCCCCCTCCTTACACACACGCTCACACATCTCCTCCCTACCTTCGTGCCACCTTCAGCAGCATGACAACGCTTCCTGGGGACATGGTCACAGGTCAGTGGAGAGCATTAAAAACAATTTGGAGGTGACTCTGGAGAATGGCCTCGGAGCAGCAACACGTTTTTTGGAGGAACATTAATGAGGACGAGCTGAAGGCGGAGTTACAGTGCATGACATTTTAACCCAACGCCCAGCTCTGCAGCAGAGACTGAAGCAGACATGAGAGCAGCCGTCAGACAAGGACCACGGTGATTCTGCAAGAAGTTTGTAAACAAGTTTTTGAATGAACACTAAAATAATGGATTTAATGCTCTCTGGGAGCGTCTGTTCACTGTGGGTCCTATCTTATAATAATATTTACTCCACATTTAAGTCAAACCTAAATGATTTGTCACCAAACAGATCCTGAGACCAGTCCGTTAGGTCAGAGGTTCTCAAACTGGGGTCCCTGTATGGGCTGCCGTTTCTAAAGTTACACAGTCAAATATTCCCAGCAATATTTTCGTGTTATTTAGCCTTTTATAAGAAAAAAAGAACATTTATTTTACAAAGTCAGTTTTCACAAAATGATTCATA